TCAAGTAGCATTGGTTCTGTTCCCGAAAGTCCCGCTCCTTGCACCCTGGCTGCTTTTCAAGTGCAAGCGCTTTGCGCCTTCTCTTGTGCTTCGCTCTCCATTGCAACCTGTTGGCGTGGCTGTGGGATATGCGTTGGCCGCTGGAGGAGGAACATGGTTGAACAATAGTTGGATCAATTGAATCAGGAGACTTTCAGAACCGTTATAAGCCTTTTCAACGATTTCGCCAACACTTGCATACTTTCAAGGTCGGCGATACAACAGCACTGGACTGGAAATGCAAAGATGAGCCATAAAGCTCCAGGCTCAAAAGCTCTGCAGCACCACGCAAACAAACTCGTTCTTTGCAAACTGCAAAGACACCCCATGTAGAGAACTTGGTGCACAGGCAAAGCTTGCCGTGAGGTTCCAAGCCTTTCCCGCTGAGCTCAGAGAGCTGATCAGCTCATCAGCTCTCTGCCAGTCCCAGATTCATGCACAAGTACTTGAGAGCGCCAATGAACCCTGCCAGTCTTTACTGCCTACCTACTTTAAGTCTTGACGAAAGGGGCAGCCGAAGGTGTTCCAATCTTCAGGGCTTTCTAGTCTATCTTGCCAAGGCAGTGGCTGAGCGGATCAAGAAATCAGCCTGTGGCCAACATTTTCACGCAATGGCTTATGGCGTGTATAAATTATGGCCTCTTGCTGGCCTTCATGCGATTGGGCTCAACGAGCGGATTGCAAGTGGATTACACACGACAAATGCGCGGTGTTCGATCTCGTGAAAGTGAATGCGCGGCAAGCTGAGGTCGTAATGTGATAAAACTGAAGGGTTGCTGATAAATACTTCAAAGATATAAGGGCTCACAGTTCAGCCTGCTTTTCCTATGAGCGAGCCCAGAGCTCGCGGGGTTGGTTCACTTTGATGAGCGCCATGGCGCTTTATGCCCTAGCGGTACTGCCAAAGAGATGAGGCGTTTTTATGTTTCAGGCGAGAACGATCAAGCCAACGCTTTTTGAACCCGCCTCCGGCGCCATTGGAAAGGCGCCACTCGCACACGGCGCGAGAGACACCCCCGGCAGCTGAAGCCAAAAACGACAACGGAGGGTGTACGAGCAAAACATGTTATTACGCTGAACAGTGTCAGGCAACAACACCTCGCTACGATTGCGATGCATGCATCCATCATCAGCATCTGTCACCATCCATCTGTAACAACTTTCCCCGCACGACCTTGATGGAGGCACATATATACCATGAAGGCGCTTAGTGTGATTGATTCGCCCTTCTCCCGCTAATTGGCTTCAACACGGCACACAGAGTCGTGATCTTAAGGCAGGCCCAGACTTTGCCGGCAACTTGGAAGGCAATATCCTCCGGCTTGCTCTCTCCTCACAACTCCCTTCACTGAATGTGCTAATGTGTGCAACAGTGTCTTTGAGCAATGATCCGTCACAACAACTCAAAGCCATCTTTTGTGATGGACGGTGATCGCAACAAGCAGCCCAGATTCGACAAGCAACGTGAAGGATTCTGTACCAGTGGGTTTGCGGTCCGAAAGTTCATGTCGACGTGAGCGCCGGAAAGAATCGTCTTTTCCCCAAAAGAACATGGGACTGTTGGGGTGGGCACCCTGGTTTGGACACCCATGTCTGCCCCAAGCCAACTAACTATACACGACCAGCAAATTGTCCATTGACGCATGATCTCCTGCAGACTTGCCAAATCAGCACGTTCTGCCCATCTCTTTTGTCCAAGTGCGTTCTCGCTACAGCCTCGACGCCGGACCCACGAGAGGGAAAACCAGGCGGACACGGCAACCGAAAAGCCGCACAAAAGCAACTTCAACATTCTGGGTTCAATAATTTGCTTGGCGATAAGCTAGTGGACTCTGCTGGGTTTCCAAACATTCAGTTCATGAACAGGGGCAAAGGTAAGACTTGTGCTCGTCGTCCATGAGACATTCAAATTCTGCAAGCCAGACGCATGGGGGCCTCCACCAAGCATTGGAGGCGAGAAAACACGCTTGTTCTCGTCTCGAGTGCGGTTTGCACATGTCATATCATGTCATCTACACCATGAAACAAAGAAGGACACATAATGGGCGGTGTCAGCAATTGCCAAGCGGCCGTGCCGCTCAAGCTTTACCTCTCTCTAGACGATGGCGGGTCCAGTCATTTTGTGGCAACATGCATTGGGGCGAAATCAGGAGCCCTGTCTTTGCACGTCTGCTGGCTAAGAGTGCGTACAGCTCCCATAAGACTTCCAGGAGAGGAGCTGGTGCAGCTCAGCTGATCACAAATCCGACTCTCCGTTGACAAGGGCTGGTGCCTGCAGACCAAATAATCGGAAAGACACATGCCCTCTGTTGTAGCTTAGCTGATCGAACATTGATAGCTACTAGTCATGGCAACCATTAGGATGTTCATTCTTGGGACATATTGGGACGAGCTGACTCAAACAAACTCCTTCCTGCAAGGTCACTTACGCAGTTTGCCCAAACTGGCTCTCGCCCACTCGAATTGTCGCTATCCGCAGCCTCGCCTGGGCTTGCGGAGGGTTCGGACACCTGCCCTTAAGGGCAGGTAGGCATCCCCTCAGAGTCAAAAGCTTGACAAGGATCGACCTGAAATGCTCAAAATGCGCATGTGTTGAGACATGCTGAGACTCATTCTCAGCTCAAGCAGCCTTCCTGATTGAGTCTCTGAGCGAATCAGATATCCAGTGCGAATGCAGATAGACCTTTGCCCATGCTCCCCTGCAGACCAACATGAAACCGAAAAGAACCAATATCTGTAGACGAGTCTCCTTTTGGGGGATATCATTTTTGGGGTTCCATGCTAATTTACTCTTTGGGTCCTTCCTGCGTTTCCAGCTCAGATGTTGATCTACCTAGAGCACCTCATCTCTGACTGGCTCTCACGGCCGGGGAACACCATTCGATGTGCTACCTATCTCCCCGGCAAGCCGAATCCTTTGGACCACGGACCCGCCAGGGAGCGGTACACCAAGACTTGCTAGGGTCAAGGGCCCCCACAAAATGACAAATTACGCAAGAGGGCGTTGAAACAGCACACCTTGTTGAATGATCCAAGCGCAGCTCCACCGCGACTTCTGCGCAGAGAAAGCCCCGAGCAAGGTCTTGGTGTCAGCCACCGATGCATCAATACCCATGATCTGGCCAGGGCAGCTTGCCTTAAATGCACGAGAACACTGATGCACCGGAGACAGCCTACTTAAGACTCGTCGACGCGTGCCGCCCTCTAAAAGGTGCAACCGCATCTTTCCCCCACCTGCCTTTCAGGTCCAATCAATAATTTTGCCCAACTGCATGGGACGGTTGACTCTTGCCGTTCGCTTCTGCAGATGGCCTACTTTTAATCGAGACACGCTGGTCTTGTGCCAGCAAATATGAAAGCTGCCGTAAGATTGTTGGATTGTCCAGTAATATGGCACCATAACTAATCACTAGCCATTGGTTCTGAATCAGCGTCTAAGAGTTGATCACGACTGCCTTTGCCCGAAACGCTTACCTGGCTGCTGCCCGAGCTGGCCAGCCTTTGTGTCGGTTCCACTAGTTGCGCCGTCTCAGTGGCCAACGCAACCAATGCCTCGCAGGGTTGGCTGAATGATGACTTCGCTGGGGCAGCCTTTAAAACAAGAGAGCTGAGCTTGAATCATGCATTACTTAGCTAGTCCTATATACATATGGGCAACAGCTTTACTGCGTCTTCTATGTCTGACGTCAAATCAAACGACGACACGTGGCTTGTACTAGGGGCAGAACCAAGCAAGTCGCCGCGAGGTGGCGTCGGCAGGGTGCCGTCTTACAAAAGGCGCTGCCTCTTAGAGGGTTCTGAGTGGCAAAAACCCGTCTGCGAAGCCCTTGGAAATGCGTATACGAAGGCCAACAGAGAAGGCTTGGCAACATTTTCCGAGTGGGGGCGAGCTTCTTAGGGCAGTGGCCTTGATACCTCTCTGAAAAGCCATTCGGGGACTCCACCAGGACGCTAACTCCCCTGGTTTTGCCCTGACATATAGGCCAACTAAGTATTGTGGCGATCTCGAAATAAGTCCCTTCCTTTTAGAAACATACTTTTTGTGTGGATGTTTTCTAGGAGACCCACAAAATGGCAAAAACCACCAAACACGGGGCACCCCCAAAAAGACACGCCCATTTAGGGAAAGCCATGTTTGACCACATCCCAAGATCCCTTTGCCACGTGGAAGTGTGGCCTGGCTCGTTAAGGAGGGCCCGTGCACCCATTGGCTGCGCCACCGGGCTCTCGCAGTCCTGGAGCTGTTGGCAAACCAGTCTGAAGACTCAGCCCAAAAGCGAACACACTGGCGACCAATACCTGCAATCCGAAATGATGTCCACATGCAGCCAAGAGAATATGACAGTATTTGCGGTACTTTTGCGCAATTTCCACCCTTTTCAGGCACTCCAATTTTGGGCATTTAACTATGCGCGCATCGGCATACAATTGACTGTGACTGCCTAAAACACTTTAAAGCGCTTTACAGCACTTTTGGATCTAAGATTCAAGGCTTCCAGGACTCTAGATCTTGAATCTTGAATCCCGTATGGGACCCCCAAAACACTTTAAAGCGCTTTAAAGCACTTTTGGATCTAAGATTCAAGATTCAACATTGTCAGGATTTTAGATCTTGAATTTTGAATCCAGTATGAGACCCACCTAAAAACGCTTTAAAGCGCTTTGAACTTTGAGATCCAAAGATTCAAGATTTCCAGGGCTCTAGTTCTTGAATTTTGAACCTATGATAAAAGTGCTTTAAAGGGATTTGAAGCGTTTTGGGGGCTCCATATTGGATTCAAGATTCAAGACCTAAAGTCCAACAAATCTTGAATATTGAATCTTAGATCCAAAAGTGCTTTGAAGCGCTTTAAAGCGTTTTGGGGGGCCCATACTGGATTCAAGATTCAAGATCTAATCCTGGGAATCTTGAATCTTAGATCCAAATGCGCTTTAAAGCGTTTTAAAGCTCTCTTTTGTTTTGGGGGGGGGGAGGGTCGCATATTGGATTCAAGAGTCAACATCGTGCTGCAAATCTTGAATCTTGAACCTTAGATCCAAGAGCGCTTTAAAGCGTCTGCTTTCAATCATTCCTGTTTGGGTGTGCACCTTATTTATCTTTTTCGACTTGTGTGTGGTAAATCTTTGGATATTGAAAAACCGCTGTAAATACCAGTGTTTTGCACGCTGTTCAGCAGGCGCTTTGTGCAGTACATTTTCGTTCAAGGCCATTAGCTATTTTAGCAGACAGCGTGGCATTGAGAGATGGAGGATGCGCAGCGGATGTTTCGGTATTGCCACGGGGTTGTAAGTTTGGCAGACGAAGAGGATTTGCACATCAGCTGAGATAAGAAGTCAAAGATGTGTAGGCGAAGCAGAAGAGGTATGGTTTGCCTTTTTGTTTGATACACCTGCGCCGGTACCCTTGCAGAGATGTTTTACAGTCAATTGAGCGAGGATAGCATTGGCGATGAAGACTATGCCAAAGCAAAATTAATCTGGAAACATTGAGAGAACATCACGATTTCCATTTGACAGCAAATGTGTTTTTCTTAGCTGACATTTTGTGAAAACTTCAGAGAAGTATGTATGACGTATTATGGCCTAAACCCTGTGTAATATGACGCGTTACCTAACTTCGTTTTTACGCTGTACCAAACTTTGCTCACGATGCTAAATGTCCAACTAGCCTGTGTTGAAATAGCTTGAGGTTATGACCAGAAAATGTATGATATGAGGAGCGGACGAAACACTTTACTTGGCCCTAGTACTTTTTTGAACGTTATCGTTTTTGGGGGAGACCTTATCGTTTTACAGTGTTTTCGAACTTTGGCAGATCCGGCTCGAAAATCGCAACTTTTGTAGTACAATTCTAGTACGCGAAGTACACTTCCGCATCTCCAGCTCGAAAATCGCAACTTTGTAGCACAAGTCTAGTACGAGAAGTACACTTCCGCATCTCCAGCTCGAGAATCGCAACTTTGTAGTACAAGTCTAGTACGCGAAGTACACTTCCGCAGCTCCAGCTCGAAAATCGCAACTTTGTAGTACAAGTCTAGTACGCGAAGTACACTTCCGCAGCTCCAGCTCGAAAATCGCAACTTTGTAGTACAAGTCTAGTAAGCGAAGTACACTTCCGCAGCTCCAGCTCGAAAATCGCAACTTTGTAGTACAAGTCTAGTACGCAAAGTACACTTCCGCAGCTCCAGCTCGAAAATCGCAACTTTGTAGTACAAGTCTAGTACGCGAAGTACACTTCCGCAGCTCCAGCTCGAAAATTGCAACTTTGTAGTACAAGTCTAGTACGGGAAGTTCACTTCCGCAGCTCCAGCTCGAAAATCGCAACTTTGTAGTACAAGTCTAGTACGCGAAGTAACTTCCGCAGCTCCAGCTCGAAAATCGCAACTTTGTAGTACAAGTCTAGTACAAGGCAAGCTCGACACTTTGTAGTACAAGTCTAGTACAAGTACGCTCCAGCTCGAAAATCGCAACTTTGTAGTACAAGTCTAGTAAGCGAAGTACACTTCCGCATCTCCCGCTCGAAAATCGCAACTTTGTAGTACAAGTCTAGTACGCAAAGTACACTTCCGCAGCTCCAGCTTGAAAGTCGCAACTTTGTAGTACAAGTCTAGTACACAAAGTACACTTCCGCAGCTCCAGCTCGAAAATCGCAACTTTGTAGTACAAGTCTAGTACGGGAAGTACACTTCCACAGCGCTCCAGCTCGAAAATCGCAACTTTGTAGTACAAGTCTAGTACGCGAAGTACACTTCCGCAGCTCCAGCTCGAAAATCGCAACTTTGTAGTACAAGTCTAGTACGAGAAGTACACTTCCGCATCTCCAGCTCGAAATCGCAACTTTGTAGTACAAGTCTAGTACGCGAAGTACACTTCCGCAGCGCTCCAGCTCGAAAATCGCAACTTTGTAGTACAAGTCTAGTACGCGAAGTACACTTCCGCATCTCCCGCTCGAAAATCGCAACTTTGTAGTACAAGTCTAGTACGCGAAGTACAGTTCATCAGCTCCAGCTCGAAAATCGCAACTTTGTAGTACAAGTCTAGTACGCAAAGTACAAATCCGCAGCTCCAGCTCGAAAATCGCAACTTTGTAGAACAAGTCTAATACACGAAGTACACTTCCGCAGCTCCAGCTCGAAAATCGCAACTTTGTAGCACAAGTCTAGTAAGCGAAGTACACTTCCGCAGCTCCAGCTCGAAAATCGCAACTTTGTAGTACAAGTCTAGTACGCAAAGTACACTTCCGCAGCTCCAGCTCGAAAGTCGCAACTTTGTAGTGCAAGTCTAGTATGCGAAGTACACTTCCGCAGCTCCAGCTCGAAAATCGCAACTTTGTGGTACAAGTCTAGTACGGGAAGTACACTTCCACAGCGCTCCAGCTCGAAAATCGCAACCTTGTAGTACAAGTCTAGTACGCGAAGTACACTTCCGCAGCTCCAGCTCGAAAATCGAAACTTTGTAGCACAAGTCTAGTACGGGAAGTACACTTCCGCAGCTCCAGCTCGAAAATCGAAACTTTGTAGCACAAGTCTAGTACAGGAAGTACACTTCCACAGCGCTCCAGCTTGAAAATCGCAACTTTGTAGTACAAGTCTAGTACGCAAAGTACACTTCCACATCTCCCGCTCGAAAATCGCAACTTTGTAGTACAAGTCTAGTACGCGAAGTACAGTTCCGCAGCTCCAGCTCGAAAATCGCAACTTTGTAGTACAAGTCTAGCACGCAAAGTACACTTCCGCAGCTCCAGCTCGAAAGTCGCAACTTTGTAGTACAAGTCTAGTACACGAAGTACACTTCCGCAGCTCCAGCTCGAAAATCGCAACTTCTCAGTACAAGTGTTGTATTTACGAAGCACACCTTGGCAGCTCCAGCTCGAAAGTGGCGACTCGCCTTCTCGTTTTACAGTGGCCACGCAAGGGTCCCACCCTAGCTAAGTTGCAACTGCAGGGGTTATTATAGAGCCGTGTGTTAGCCAAGGGTTATCGTTTTTGGGGGAGACCTTATCGTTTTGCATGGTTTTGGCATGTGTTATGCAAAAACGTACCCGGCCTTGATAAAGTGGTCTTCGTGTGTTTTGTCCGTGGCTCATATGATTGGAAAAGATTTGTAGGAGGAATACCACAGGCAGTTTGTTCAGAACGTAGAAGAGCAATTGCCATTTTTATGGGTGGCAAAGTCTTAATTAATCGAAAAGCTCCGCCCACTGTTGGTAACATCTGTCTAAAATGACTTGACCCCCTTACGCAATCAATTACTTTGTCTGGGGCGCCGGCCAACCGCGATCCAATCGCGATCCCAATCGAGGAGCAACGTTGGGCATCGCTGCTGTTTCTGTTTCGAGCTTCACCGTCTTATCTCATGGAAACAGGAAGGAAGTGACGTAGCTCGGATGGGCAGGGGCTCACTGGTGGAACTCGTCCAATCCAATATCGCGGTCCAATCGCGGAATTCGGCGGCGAAACTTTGGTTTGCAGCTTCCAGCCCTCGCCAGCAAGCAGATTTAGAAAGCACTGGCCCTGCACAAACGAAATGAACATTCAGGACTCCAAAGGAAACTTTTGCTGGAGCCCGCGCAGTCAAAATCAGCGAGATGTGCGTCGGCACCATGCAACGTCTAAACTCGCAATAAATTTGTTGCCCTTTCGCGGCTCGAGTTCTACCAATCGCGTAGTTTAACAAGGTGCCGCTGTTCATGAATTTAGGCATGCAATTACGGACGGCCCTCATATGTTAAAATAGTAATTCAATGAACGTATGTGTCTTATTCTGCTATGGCAACACCTTGTCTGCAAAAATGCTTTCTGCCAGGTCTCGCACTGCCTAATCCTTTTCTGTATACGCCGCACCCATCCACACACTTGCACGCGCACACTCACACAAACGATGGCGTGCAATACTGAAAGTGCAGTCTGTAATTTTATCCTGTTGTTTCAATATCGCTAAGATAGCGTATGACCCAAAGGACAATACTGTCGATTCCAAAAAGGACATGGTTGCCATTGGTCGTCACTCCATGTCCTCCAAAATCAACAGTGGACTGCGATATGATTGTCAATTATTCATGTGAAAGTGCTGGATCCTTCCGGAGCTTTGTTTGCTAACCAGCTGGAAGTCTTACGTAGCCACATTAGGCCCTCAAAAGTGCTGACGCCTTGATCGGGCACCTTGCCGGTGCACGTTTCCATCATCTGGGTCCATTGCAGTGACATTACACTCAAAATGTGGTTAAAGGGATCCAAAACTCCCAGAAGCAATTTGAGAACGCCTCAACATGCTTACTTAAATAGACCCAAACCGTTTCTCCCCGTCCTGAAACGTGGATGCCCTTGACAACCTGATCGCCCCCGGCGAAACGGGTGAAGTCGGCTCCTGTCGCCATCCCGCTGGATGCGCGCGAGAGGCAAGCTCTGCGACTCATTGCGGAGTCTCTGAAAATGACGGCTCCCTAGTCTGCTCTTGGATTCCCTTCAAATCATAACCACAAGTACCCACCAGAAAGATAGACAAATAAACATGTGCGCTGCGAGATTCAAATAAAATGATAGCTGTTTACAATAGTCCAAACCAAGCCAGCGCCGGCAGGACAGGGCTCACATTGCCGAGTAGTCTAGCGTGTTACTAGTGCGATCTTGTGTTTGTTCGTTTTGACAAACGTCTGACATCATTTCGTCCAGCAACCTCAGCAGGGCGTCAACCAAAGAACATGTACTGGACCATACATGGTGCCATCTATGCAAATTGATGTTGAGTATGGGTCCCCTTCTCCAATGGAAGTCAACAAAAACAACACAGCCGTTTGTGATGCCATATTCAGGGGGTATGTAACAAGCTGGGAAAGCCCAATTGAAACAAGTGGTTTCCCCTTTGATGTCCCCTTCAGCCACCTCCCACTTCAAATGAATGGCTTTCTCCAGCATATTTTTAGTGCTCTCCAATGAAGGGCACTTGACATGTTTTTGAATCGAGGAAAACTTAAGGCCGTGTCGGTGGCCTAAGTGACCCTTTGATTCGTTTGCTAAGTGCCCTTTTTGGCTTGATAGGGGTTGGGATTCTGTTGAAATCGAACAGCTACCCGTGTCGAAGTGTGACAACTGCCACATTTGATTGGGGCCGACCCGGAAAGCCCGAAAATGTCGTTTTGAGTGTCAAAGCGTGTCATTTGAGTGTCAGTGGCGGTGCGAATCGAGATCACTTACCCCTGCGTCGGTCCCGCCCCCGTGTGAGTGTCATTCGCATTCACGTGTCGCTGCGGCTCCATTTGCCCGAACTGAGGCGGGTTCTGCTGGGGAGGGCAACCCTGAGGGTCTAAGTGCCCTTTAAATGGCTTAAGTGACCTCTTTGATTTAGGACTAACTGCCCTTACTGTCAAAATGGATCGTAGCACCCAAAAAATGAATCGAGGGCACTGAAAAGAAGCTGGCTGTTCAATTTTCCTTTCAACCAACCCCAATTCAAATGAGTGGTATTCCCTTCGATTTCCCAACCGCACGTCAAATGAGTGGTTTTTCTTGATGTCCCTTTCAACCAAACCCCATTTTAAATCAATGGTATTCCTTGCGACTTCCGTCAGCCAAACCCCATTTCAAATGCATGATTTTCCCAGTCGATTTCCCTTTTAACCAAACCCTATGTCAAATGAGTGGCTTTCCGTTTGATGTCCCTTTCAACCAAACCCCATTTCAAATGACTGGTTCTCTGTTCCATTTTCCCTTCAACCAAACACCATGTCAAAATGAGCCTGCCGATTTCGCTTGCAACCAAACCCAATTTCAAATGAGTGGTGTTCCCCTTCGATCTCCATTCCCTTTCAACCAAACCCCGTTTCAAATAAGTGGTTGTCTTTTGATGTCTCGTTCAATGGTTTTCGTGCCGATTTCCCTTTCAACCAAACCCAATTTACAATTAGTGGTTCTCCAGTCGATGTCCTTTTCGATCAAACCCCATGTCAAATGAGTGGCTTTCACTTTGATGTCCCTTTCAACCAAACCCCATTTCAATGGTTCTCCTGTCGATTAACCCTTCAACCAAACCCCATTTCAATTGAATTCAACCAAGCCCCATTTTAAACCCGCGGAATGGATTCTTACTCAAAAGGCAAGTAAGATCTCAAAGAGCCACGCCGGTCCTTGGAGGAAGGCGAGCGGGCGTTTGAGGAAACCTTGGATGCCTTGGAGGTCTTAGAGGCCACCTCCTCCGAGCGTCTCCCCTGGCACGGAAAGAGCAACGAACCGAAGTCGGCCAGCCATATACCGCCACCTTGCAACGGCGGCTGCGTTCCATGTCCAAAACCCCAAGCGCTGTCCAAAAGGCAGCTGTTTTGAGCTCCGAGAATTGACGCTTCTTGCCTTGGGATCCAAATGTGTCGTTCGCATGAAACAACATATCTTGCTTGCCATTGTCTGTTCTGCGATCTGATCCTTTTGGAACAGTTCATGAATGACTTTCATCCACAGGAAACCGTCACCAAGTTGTTCGACCCCGACCTATTCTCTGGGTAACCCTGGGAAAAGCAGGTTTGGGTTGGAAAACAAAGCGGGTCACCTGTCTCGCCTCCACCGCGGAGCCATCTTCCTGCTTAAATGCCTGGCGTGAGCAAAACGGCCCCCAAAGGCCACACCTGGATCACTTCCCAATGTCAAAATTGTCAGTCCATCCAATCAAAAGGGATATGGGGGAACGAGCACTCTCTTGCTCCATTTGCCAGCACCTCTCAGGGGAAACTACATGCTCTGGCCTGTCCAACGGTTTCCTTAGTTTCCCTCCGGGGAAGTACCACAAGAATCGCCCCGGGCAAAGCAAGAGCCCTGGTGGGTTGCGAACCCTACAATCCCCCGCAGGGCGTGCTTCGAATAGGCCCCTTTGTGGTACTCAAGTAGCAAAGCTTGTGTAGCCAAACCTGACATGTGTGGATAGGTTAGCTTGGTTCTCTTCAAAGCAAAGGGCCGGGCGCAGGGAGCTGGCAGGGGTTCAATTTTAGGGTCTGAGTTTAGTTCAGGATCCAGATTTAGGGTTTAGGCTTAGGCCAGGTTTAGGTTTAGGGTGCAGAACTAGGGTTTGGTTTGGGTTTCGGGTTCAGGGTTTAGGTTGAGATCAGGCTGAGGTTAGGTTTCGAGTTAAAATAAGGCTTAGGTGTAGGGTTTAGGTTTTGGGTTCAGCGTTCAGGTTTAGGGTTTAGGTTAAGAGCTTAGGTTTAGGGTTCATGTTTAGGGCGAAGGTTTAGGGTTTAGGGTTTAGGTTTCGGAGCGTTGGTTCGGGGCGCCGGAAACGCTGACTGTATACGCAGCATGGTCCAAACACCCTTTTGGACAGTTACACCTTTCAGGCAAACGACGTTGAAGAAAGCGACCTGCATGGGCGAGCTCGTTCAACCCTCAAATGCCTGGTTGCCAGGACCCCAATGGATGCCAGTTGCCAGCATAGTAGGTACCCAGCCATTCTTGTTAGTTCCCTTGATCAATGGATACCTACTAAATACCGACCGCCTTGGCACTCTCGAGAGCCGCAGCTCAGCGCTCATAACTCGATTTGTCCTGGCCTTGGAGAACAAGTCAAAAGTTCAGATTATACTATATATATATAATTATATATATATACAGATAGATATTCCACATCTAATCTACAGCGCTTCCGGTTTCCACCATGGCAGGGGACGCCATCACGCGAAACCCAAAGACCCAAAAGTAAACCTGCCTGGGTATTCTGAAATAGAATTTGGTTTTGGAGAACCCTGAGTTGCCTGGTCAACTTTGGGTGCAGTGGGACTGGCTACGTCTCGTCAGACAGCCACCCTTCGAGGTCAATGAGCTTTGTAATCTTGAAACAATCAATGTGCAAAGAGAGGGGTCTCATGGGGTCTCGTAAGACATGAGTGGATGCGGGTAATGATAATTATGTTCTAGCGGGCCGAGTCTAGTCACTCAAGCCCCAAGTAGATATTGGCATGGCAGCTCCTAAGGAGAAAAAGAGCTGACCGTCTCGCTGATAGCGCCTGTCCCCCAAAAGTTTGTTGCAAGCCAAGTGCCTGATCCCGAGCCAAAAGGCCCTGCATAACCGTTAAAAACCTGTTTGCTTCAGTTGGCCGGGCAAAAGCATGCTCTGAACGCACCGGGTCCAATTCATCTCACTAGAATTGGTCAGAAGAACACAGAAACACCGAACTCCCTATTTCAAGTCACTGTGTCCAGATTGACCCTTCATACCTGGGCCACACTTCGACCTGGGAAAATCAAGAAGGCCCTGAAGAAAAACACCAGCAACGTTCCCGGGCCTCTTGGGCATCCGCTTCTGCGGCAACGGCCTCCGCTTCCTGAGCCTGGGACACCGTCACCCAACCCTGTGAGAACGCGCACGGCTCGAAGCATATGCCACATGCCGTCGGCACAAACTAAAGTGCCGAAGAAACGGCTTAAACGGCTTAAACCCTGGCACCTCCCATCCTCCCTTCCTGCCTCTGCAACATCGTTCCATCGCAGCTCCTCTGCGCGGGCCTGCAGCATATCCAAACTTTCCAGGACACAGGCCAGCCAAGTCTCAGTAGATTCCATCTCACACAATCCATGTCGTAAGGAATATCTGTTGTGGGTAAATTCTGCATGCCTGCAGTGTTTGGAATGTATCTTTACGGTAGGTCACAACCAAGGCCACCCGAGCAAAACACTAACAGGAACATGAGGGTTTCCTATAGGGACTGGATCCACGAGTGCAATGAGTCTTATGTGACTTCACTCATCTTCACACTGGCAAGCATTTTGCAAGCATCGATCAAATCAGCATCTGAGATCCGATTGGCCCATTCCTCACAGCCAAAATGATGCTGGGACTTTCAGGATAGGGAAAGCTTCCCGACCCAAGCCCGGCAAATCCGGCGCGATGCCTGGACAAAAAAATACAAATGGGTTCTGCCTGGCAAAAATCCTCCTCAAACACAGCGCGAGAAGCGTACTTGACCCACACAGTATGCTTAAAATGGGACATCGCCCAAACAATGGGACACCAACCCACCATCTTACTGGGACATGTTTCCCATTTTAAGGCTCTGAGGGTCCAGGCAGCCGACCCGGCCTGCGTCAGCTTTTGCCGAAGCTCCTTCAGCTCCTGAGCCAGAGCGTTCGGGGTGAGGATCTTTTGTTTCCGGAGGCGTCGCTCGGGAAAATCTGAAAACTGCTTATGACCACCGGCAAATCAGCCATAAACATGGTTGGCATTTCCAACCCTAGGTACTCAGCTGAAAACAAAGTGGATTCCACTGGTAAATGTAAGTAAATGAAACTCAAACCAAACTGAAACCAGTGGAATCCATTTCTTCATGCAAACAGACCCCTGAGAAAGGACGGCTATGGTACCAGGGCCCTTCGCATGGTATCTGGCGGGAAAAGGCTGCAATCCTTTGAGATAACGTTCAACATGGGTTTTGTGCCGTTTTGAAAGGAAAGGCATCTGAGGAGCCATATAGCCGAGGAGAGAAAGGAGCGGGGAGAAGGGCGCACGCAACAGGCTGAGGATCACACGCATTCTGGGCAGGAAAACATTGTGAAGTGAAGTGCAAACTTTGCAGAGTTCAATGTCTGCTAGCATCCGGGTAATAGCCTTTTTACAATGCACCTGGCGGCTACAGTCCAGAGCTCTCCGGTCCATACATCATGCAACTGTCTCGAAAGTGCGAAGCCCATTCTGACATCCCTGCCTCCAACATTATCACCCTTTTAAAATGTGCGTATTGGTGTCCGGGGTCCCCTCCACTTGCGCGCAGTTTTGAGGAGGTAAAGGACATAGCAAAACTAGGGTCCCGCTTTTTGTTTGTTTGTTGCAGTTTGGAGCTCGTCCCACCCGGCAAATGAGCCACAGACTAGCCATCTTGTCGTCAGCTGTCCTCCTCCTTACACTGAATCTCAGCTTCGACGTCCTTCACCTTCTGCGCCTTGACACGTCACTCCGGTAGGTTGTGGTTGTGCCTCTTTGGGGAATCCTTGGCATGGTGGTCCAAAGTCCCTAGTAACTGCTCTATGACCAGATATGACCAGACCTACCTGCGAAGCAAGCGGATATTTTGACAATGTCCAGGCAACCATGACCAAACAGCAGGCCAAGATGCGTGGGAACCATCACTGGCGATATCAGAGACTCAGACACTCATTCCGATTCCTCATATCATACCCGTAAACAAAAGAGAAACACAAGGCACGTCCTGGTCCTGTTTGGACTGCTATATTGATCCTGGCGATATAATTCTACAATTTCAACCCTCGGACAACAGCACAACTCTCTTTGTCGCTTGATCCACATCCTTGCAACCAATGAAGCACTGCCTGGGGAACCAATGATCGCCTTACACCTGCGAAGGTGGCCCTGACTTAAACATGGCTTTCGATGGGATTTGGCATTCGTAGGATATGTTTTACTTGCAGGAACGCAAAACAAGGGTGCAATCCTTGTCCAAAATCACACTGTCCCCCGTGTCACCCAAGCCTCAGATGCTACGTCTTGATCCATCCTGGGTGATCATGTCAAGGTTCCTTCGATGTCCCTTTGAGCATCTTCCAACAGCCAGGAAGCTGGATTCTTGCACCGTGCATTGAACATTACCCTCTCCAGTGACCCCAAACATGGTTTCCTTTTGGTCTGCTAGAAAAAGGCCAGGTGTTCAATCGCTAAATGGCTGAATGGTACCATAGCCTGTACACGGACACGCGCACAAACCTCGCAGGCCCTGCCTCCACCTTGGCCAGGTCCCTTGCTTGCTTTGCGGCCTGGCTGAGTCTTGCGCAGGGCCGGCACTTGCAAATTGCTTCAGCTCTCGTCCTCAAACCCCAAAAGTTAACCTTTCCTGGTTGAGATGGAACATGACAATGACCTGGAGCTCTTGCAACGGAGCACCACCTTGTCAGCGTCGCCATGACACGAGTACCCACGCCAAAACTATAATAAGTGGCGGTGGCGATGAAAGCTCTCGATAGCTCCCAAGAATATGCAGTCATGCAACCACTCTTCCAAAACGTGTTGGGCTCCCAAACTGAGGATCGGAGTTGGGCCTACTCAGATGGTCTGTCAAACTGGTTTAGAACTGTTTCAGTATTCATTTAGTGTTGTTTGTGCGAATGTCTGGGGCGTCAATTCGTTTGTCTGTATTTCCTCCCCTTATCTTTTCAGGGTAAGGCATAATTATTCTAGGACAACTTGTCTTAATTGCCTCCCCATTTACGAATCGCTACACGACCCTTCCCAGCAAGTCTTCCCACTGAAAGTTGACATGGAACGAATGACGGCTTGTTGGGTTCCATGTGAATCTGAGGAGCGTACTTGCCGAAAGACCATGGCCCGATGTCGGAGTAGCGCCACAATTGTGAGCACAGCTGCCAGGTTTGGGAATCAACATCATGCGTTTGTGCCATTGGTTCGAGTGCAGTTGTCTCTGTCATGAAACGTGTGTTTTCAGAAAACAATCCAAAAGCAGGCCTGCTGGCAAACCCAGAGGTTTTCCGAAAACAAAGGACATCTCGCGTCAGTGGCACCGGCCTCACGGTATCCGCTGGCAGCAGCAGTTGCAGAGTCAACAACCTGCTTAAGGTTGTGCCGGTCGCGCTAAGGGACGTGTCAACAAACCGGAGCCGGCTCAACGTCTGGGTAAAGTACTATAACTCCCTATTGGAAATCGAAATCCTTAAGTAAGAGATCTCATTCCTTGGGTGAGCTCAATTACTTTCAGGGTGAGCTTGTTTTGTTTGTCGCCCAATTGGACAAGGCAAAGGGATCTGCGGTTCTGGCAATGTCAGAAGTACAATCGCACCAATGACAATGTCTGGCAAACTCATTGCAATTGCGCGTTCTATGTAGACACACACACACAAGCATATACACACACACATCACGTGTGTGTATATATATATATATATATAACGATGGTATATGTACATCTATACATATATATATACATATTAAGTACGTGTGCATGTCAAATTTGCAAATGTTGCTTTGGGCTATGGATTCTGTAGCGAGGCCTTCATTACATATATGGTGTCTGAACAGAGGAAAGTACCGTGGAAATGGTTAAATGTTCAAACTTGGAGTCTGGGGTGGCACAAGTTGACAGCAAATAACCTTTTTAGGCAAGCGAGTTGTGAGGATGGGGGGAGAACGAGGTGAGAACACCCGACCATTTAGCCATGTAGCAAATAGCTACCGTAGCTCACATGGATTTGGGCAACCCTCAGCACCAGTTGTGGGTTTGCCTGCTGATAGATTTCCTTTGATGGTCAGTTTCCAAATTTTGGGGAAGTTTGGGGGGGGGGGTGGGTGGGGGGGGGGGGGGTAGGGTTAGGGTGGTTGAAGTCTATCACCTATCACGATTGGATCGCTGCTCGCCAAATCCAGGTGGGTCCTGTCAAGAGTAGTACTGCTTCGGGGATGCCTTTGTTTCATCCTACTCACCTACTTGACAGGAGCATGCACCCTTTTGGACTCCTTGACCTCGTTTCCAAACGCCGCATGCGCGTGTGATATCAACCAGTTGCATGGCATGGCCCTACCTCGCTTTGGGGTGTCGCTTTGCACCTAATCCAGCATGTTACCCAAAATATGTTTCTGCCCGGCCTTTACTGTAGTCTTCCGGAAATAAAGGCAGTCGCTCATGTAAAGAATAAGGGCGGTCGCAACGGAGTGTTCCCACTCACTTCTAAGCTTCACTTACCAGTCTTTCCATGCACCTCGCGATCGAGCTAGCGAGCCTCTTCCTTCTTCAGTGAGGTCTTGGGCGTCATGGAGTTCTTGGGCGCGACATCTGCCACCGCAGCACGAAGCAGAGCTCGCAGCTCCGCTGTCCTCAAACACGGGCATGTGACCCCCAAAGATTGGGGGATCCCCTAACATTCCCTGTAGAAACAAAACACATAGAACACAATCTAAACAAGCTCACCCTCAAAACAGACCCATATCTGGCAGGCAAAGGGCACTTTGCATGCCACAGGTAAATGGACTTGTTGATTATTTTAGGGTGGAGTGAGCCTTGCCACAGCCTCCTCAAGCTTCGCCCTGATTTGCCTCTCAGCTTTGCTCAGACTTTTCATCTTCGTCAAGCGTCCGGGCAATTGCAAGTTGAGCCACGAAGCTATCTCAAAAGGCGGTTTCGCATAGATAGATACGCACCTTCACCCCACTCTGCGTCGTTCAAACGATTGAAAGGAAACATCAGAGACGGCAGCATGGCTGACCTGCCCATTTCAAACTGCGGCAATGCAAATCGGCCGGGCATTGCTGTTGCTGCCGTTGCCTGCGCAGGGAAGCAAAATTCAAACAAAGCGTGCAAAGTGTTCACAACTGGGCCAAGCTATTGCCCCAGTCAAAAGTCAACAGGCAAACAACAACTGGCATGATTTGTTGGAGAACACGGTGCTGCCCCAGCCTTCATGGCGATTGTAGTAAATATTGCCGTTCCCCAGAGCGAAACAGCCGGAGGGATAGCCGGAGTAGCTGCCTTCAGTCTGGAACAACTCTCCGAGTTCGGCTGCCGCCTGCCAGTCTGGGCCGGGTGTAAAGGGGGGATCAATGCGCCCGGCCAACGATCTTAACTGCTCACTGCACCGTCCTACCGCTTAGTTTTCCTGGGCTGGCAGTTCTTCCTTAGCCTCCTAAGTTGTTGGTTCTTCTACATGAGCCGATGCCAATATCATTTGCGCCTGATTCGAAACTTAGCCTCTTGACCAAGACTACAGTAAACGACGACAATAGTGCACTATTGTCCGATGGACATCCAAAAGCCCGTTGTTAGAGCTCCCTTCTCACTCTCGCCCCACCAAAGCACCGCACCTCGCGGCACAGCTCCGGATCATCGATCTGTTCCCCCACAGAGCAGCTGTTGCTGTTGAGCTCGCCCTGATGGAAGGTGTGGGTCACTGGAGTGTTGTCGATCTTGCACACCGGTGAATCCTCTGGAAGGGCCTGCGGCCAAAATGTAGAAACGGAAATAGCAAAAGCAGTCTGACAGTCCATGACATGATGGGAGGAAAAGCGCAGGGTAGGCATGGCTCTGTTCACCCACTAGCGCGGGTACCCTGTTTGAGGGTTGGCGTTTGGAGGAAACATAAAACGAAAACCACCATGTTGGGGTTTCGGTGTGAAAAGACACACCCATAGTGCATACTAGGTGTTGTACAAATGGGGTTGAGAACCGTCTCGTTTGTTCTAGAGTGCTCCTTATCGCTTTGCAGTGCTTTTGTTTTTCCGCCTCGAATGTCGCAACTTAAAAGTATCAGTAGAACCGGCAAAGCCGGTGATATCCTTCTCTTTCCCTGTGTCCTTCTGCTTCCCTTCTTTCGTTGTTCATTTATGTTATCTTTTTCTGTCCATCCATCCATCTATATATATCTTACCTATCTACCAGCCTATTTATCTAGTCCATCCATCCACCCACCCACCCACCCACCCATCCATCCATCCATTCAATCTCTCTATCTACTTTCTCTATCCCTATCTATCTATCTATCTATGTATCTATCTATCTATCTATCTATGTCTACATCTATCTATCTAAGCGCGGCACGCAAAGTACACTTTGGCAGCTCCGGCGCGAAAGTCGCAACTTTTGAATACAAGTGTGACACCTGAGGGTGCAGCACTTATGTTGATCAAGGGTTATCCTTTTCCCAAAAAACTGCAACGGAGCGAGGATCGGTTGCGTGCCGGCTGGAAGCGTTGTGTAAGCATGATTAAACATGCCGGTGGATTTGCTCCACCGAGGCGTAGCGACAACGAGGTCATATCGGACATATCGTTCGTGCACCTCCGGAGACAGTGCCCGAGAATGATGTGGGGCCCTCGTGCGCCGGTGGGATTTCCCTTGGCGGAGGCTGCAAAAGGGCGTCCGTCGGACGGAGGTGTGCCGGTGGGATTTGGTCTGGCAAGAACACAATGGCGTCGCGGTGCCCTGACGCAAGCAGCGTCCCCCGCGTCGCTTGCGCCGGTGGGATTTGGCCCGGAGGCAATGCTACCGGTTCGAGAGTTTGGAAGGCAACCTTGGGGACAATCCTTGCCATGATGAGCTCTGACGCCAGCAGTGTCCCCAGCCTCGTTGGTTCGCGTTGCTCTTTGCAAGCGCCTGTGCTTGGTGGAGCTTGTGACTTACAATTGCTTGGTTTTCTGGTTCCCCGGCTCTCCTTGGTTTCTTAATCACTGTCGTTCTGCTGGGGGGCATGTTTTGTGAAACGGGACCGGCCCAATATTAAAGTAGCATTCCCCCCTTTATACAATCCCAATCGTCAAAAACTCGCTCTATGGCCTATGGTCATGGTTCCCATCATGGGAACACGACTACAATGGCTATGAAGGAGGATGCTTGCTACCAAGTTGGATGAACATCCCTGATAACCCCAAGTAAAATTTAAAAGGGTCTTGTGACCATGGCACATAGAGGAACAAGCAACCTGATCCAGGGTCATCAGTTCAATCCTGCCTGTCCTCCCTGGTGATAGTTGAACATGAGGCCGTCGAGGCTGGAGTCGTAGTAGCAACCGGTGGGCAGATCCGGGGTTTGCGCCCAGTTGACTGGCGCAGTGGGAGCACTAAAGTACTACGCCCACACAACTCCACACACCCAGGAATATGTTCCCTTGTGTTGAGCTCGTGTTGAATGGAAGGAATGGGCTTCATGATTGAAGTATCTAAGTATCAAATCTTTTTTTGCAAGCAACCTTGGGGTCTTAGGGCTCAGTTTCCTAGTCAAGTTCCCAGGCAAGCGGCTGAAGGACTTCCCAAGCGCTGTTGCCACAGCACTGCTTGCGCACTCGCCATGGGTTCCAATCACCTCCCCCTCCACGCAGAAAGGCGATCCCATCGCACCCAACTCATAGCGCACTCCCACGAAGGTGGTGCTGCCCGCCTCCGAAGCGGTAGTCGTCGTCGTCGTCGTGGTGGTCGTCATTGACTCGCACACCATGTAGGCACTCGACTTGGACCTTGAGCCAGCCACGTCGTAGTTGAAATAGATGCGCTCTCTATACTTGAAACAGAAAGCCGGCCAGGCGTAGTATGAGCCTTGAGCCCCGAAATCAAGGCCCAGAGCTGTGGCTGCGTCCCGGCAATCGGCCACATCTTCAATACGGGCACGGTCAACGCCGCAGCTCTGAGTGTTGTCGTGGCCAACACTGTACCCGCCCAGACGGGCTTTCTCTTTGCTGGCTGCATGCGCGTGCTGGATCAAGGAGCCAGCAACTGCATGCGAGCTCTGCGCTGCGCATGTCTCCGGAGACTCGCAGTCGCCCTGCACAAGCGCCACAAGCGCGAAGAGGAGAGAGATGCAATGCATCGCGGTTTTAGGCTGTTAAAGTTTGGATGCACAATCAAGTTGCACTGAGGCCAGAATGCTGCCGATACAGTGTGATGCCATTTCCGCGCCTCTAGCCAAATGTACCCCAGCCTGAAACAGCATTACAACAATAACGCAAACAATTGGAACTCCATTGTTCATCGTTCCAAAGACTTGGCTGGTAAACACCGTCGCTGCCGCTCAAGCAACCCACAACAAGTGCGAAGGTCAGCGATTGTTCTGGTGCTAGAGTGCCAAGTAACACTCCATCAGCGTCAGCCACAACTGGATAAATTGGGTGTGAATGCAACAAACGACAAGCTTGACATCCGTAGCTCCAGTGATGCCTCCTTTAAACATCTGCCTGGGGACTCGATGTCCCTGGAATCTGTGGATGGGGTGTGTTGGGGGGGGACCCGGTGTTGGTGATGTTGTCGATGCTGGCGAATGTGTGTGCGAGCATGCGTGCGGGCTGGCCGCGGACAGAGGGGTGCGCGTGCTTGAGGGCGAGTGTGCGGGCGGGGGCGCACGCGCTTGCCTACGTGCCTGTGCAAGTGAGTGCGCGCGTGCATGCAGGGATTGTAAGCGCCTGACCTTCCTTTTTGCGCTCGATCCACACGTGACTTTGAAACAAACACACACACACACAGACACACAGACACACACAGAGACACACAGAGACACACAGAGACACACAGAGACACACAGAGACACACAGAGACACAGAGACACAGACCCACAGACACACGGACACACAGACAAACAGACAGAGAGACACAGAGACACACAGAGACACACAGAGACACACAGAGACACAGAGACACAGAGACACAGAGACACAGAGACACAGTGACACAGTGACACAGACACACAGACACACAAAAAAACAAACAAAAAACAACCTTTCCATAGATTCAATGTTCGGCCTCTCATGCTTTCACAGAAAGGAGCTGGCAAGCGCAAATATCGTCTTAGATATGTCTTAGATTCACCCTTCGACTGTCCTTGTCACTTCCACTGCATTGTCGATCTTTGCACCAGCCTGCCAATGCGCACTGCGGCTGCATCCAACACTCTTCCCAGTGTGTCCCCTTCATTCATACGGGTGATGGATGTCAAAAACATGTCTCCGCAAACCATGGCTGGATCTTGAATGTCTTCCCTGCTTCATAGAGCATACTCTCACTCCGAAGTTCGATTGATTTTGAAAGTTTTAAGATCGGTTAGAGAAGGCAAGCAACCAGGAAACCTACGCATTTTGTGGCTTTCCCTACTTTTTTCAGTTCCAGTTGGCGCACGCATACAACGAACAAGAAGCACTGCCCGCGCTTCCTTGACTGTGGCATAAAATCTATTTTGTGATGAGGCAAGTAGGACCTGAAAAGGGCTGTACGTACGGAACCAGCTTGGTTCAATGCACATTTTGGATCAGGCTCTTGCGAATGTCAGCTCACGCATTGCAAGCAACACCCTTTCAAGCTTAGGTGAAGAACATGTCATCCACAAAAGCAAGCGCCAGTCGCGTTCTTCGGGACATCAAACAAAGGGTCCAGCGTAAGACGTTTGCCGAATGCCCAGCCTCCGTCTTCACCTTCTTGCGCGGGGAGCCGTCCAATACTCCGAAGGTTGACTCCTGAGATGTGTGCCATGAGTCGACTGAGGATGCTGTTCTGGCATCTCCGCATCCTGCAACAACTCACCTTTTAGATGCTCAAGTCCAAAGCCTTGGCTATTCGGATAAACAGTCAAATTGCGTCAAGCATGCTTTGCTTTTCCTGTTGGGAACCCCTTGACTCACGGGAAGTGCCAAACTCTAGATGGGTGGCAAACAGCCACTGACAAAGGACAATGGAAGAACTACATAGATCAACAGCCTGGACCAACAACAATCTTATACTGGTCTTAGCCTCGTTCCTACTATTAGGAAAGTGGATAGGGGGCTTCCGAAACCCGCCTGTCTTCGTAATTCTTGGAGAGAGGAAATATGCTTTACCGGATCGTAATCGTCCAATGGCCGCAAACAAGGGGTCCTGCACAGCCTGTTTGCCCTTTCAAGGCAACCTACTCTTGCGGAAGCCCGACTTTCTTGGACCCCGGTCCAATTTAGTGAAACAGCAATCGGTCAAAACCAGTCCCATGCCATCCACCTCGCTTGCATCTATTTACACAAATGCTTTCATGTCAGTTCCGTATGTCATGCGCCTTCTGACTGCTACTTGCCTCAACTTGTGGATTGGGGAAAACAACGACAACTACTACTACACAACGCGACAAACACGCGGTTCTCCTATCAAGCGTCCTGTTTCCACCACTTGGCATCATCTTACAGTCACGTAACCCTCGCATCTTAAGATTGACTGTGTTCAGTGTGTGTTTGGATTCGGATTTATTTACCCTTGCCCTATTGTGGGACTGCTTCAGGCAACGGACACATAACCCTTGATCAACGGCAGAGTGGGGGGGGGGCGGCGTAGGAAATACTAGCCTCAAGAGCACCCCATCACACAGCTCAAGACACCACAGGCGACAATTCAGCACATCCCGCACGCAACACCTGTCGTGACATCTTTTGACCCGGTCCTTCCAGGCGCCCGCCGTCAGAACCAGCAATGCGCCGCTCCAGTTCATCATCTGGCAGGTGAGTCAAACTCTGGTGAAACAATACGCAGTTTGAATGACTGCCTGATCCCTGGGGGTCGGAGGCCTTTAAAACAAAGGTCTTTACGGCTCGGCCTTTTGAAGGCTCGAAAGGCCTTTCTTTGCAGATTTTGGGCTCCGGGGTGGTGACCTGAGCAGCAGTGAGCTGTTGAATCGACCCTTGTCAACCTATAGTACGTCATAACTCGACTCAATACCCCAAATGGATCCAAATCGGGTTTCCACATGGGTTTTTGGACCGTTCGATGCGCCGTGTTTGATGTCGATGCACGGCTTCGACATGAGCGAGCTGGAGTGGCCAGGGACTCATTGGGAATTGCATAAAGAAAAGGGTGCTTTGAGATGTGGGCTGAGGCCTTTGTACTTCAATGCGCAGGGCATTGCAGAGACGTGGGAACCCTAGATTTTGTCAGCAGTGATGAAACAACACGTCAGCTCCAGGATGTCTGTGAACCTAGGTGCTCTGGAAGTGTCGGATGGGAACCACTTGATTGAGCCGGATGAGCTCTTCGCTCAAGGTCCACCCCCCCCCTCCCGCTTCGTTTTTATCTCGCGTGCACACGCGGCCCCTCTTGCCCACGCTGACTTCGAAGTGTCGCAGCCACGCACTACTTCCCAGAAGCATGCGGCCGATTAGGGTGCGGGTCGTCATCATATACAATGTATAAAGCATGCATGCAACTTCACAAGAGCATGCGTAATTCAACAAGTCGATCCAGATCTCACACAACGACCTCAAGCATAAATACTAGGTTGGTCAACGGTACGTAAGTATTTTGCCTGAGCAGCCATGTCCGGATGCCCTTCGAAAAAGAGCGCAAGGCGCATAAACCTGCTGAAGGCGCCTTGTTTTACATGGATATCATTTTCTGAGATTCGGCATTCAGAGGGATACTGGTGAATAGGCCAGGGTTATATAGCCCCTTCCCCCAAGGAGTTCTACAAAGACTTGATCCTGCACGACAACTACCTCCCAGAGCGCCGCAAGGCACTTCGAGTCCGGCATGGGCTAAAGCCCAAAGATCGACAGGCAGGCCACGCACGAATTTGCTGAAGCACATGACTCTTGCAGACAAGAAGCCAGCCAATCTAAGCACGTCAATTGCTTTTTGACTTTGCCAGGTCCCAAAATTTACCTTTTTAGACTTGGACAACAACCAGCTGGGTGAGACAGAGGCGCGATGGGCCTTGTCTTAGCCAGCACACTATTGAATTTCCATGCGTGAGCAGCTGCCACCGCGCTGCCAGATGCAACTGGCATCCAACTGGGAGTTCGGCATGCAATTTCTAGCAACGTTTGCCGATGATGTACCTCGCATCAAGGAGATAGAGGAGCGATAAGCAAAATTTAAACAGCTTTCTTTGGATTTTGCATGTGGCATACCATTGCACATGCATGCAGGCATGAATGCATGAGTACTTTACTAGTACTAGCATCCATGAGTGAACATGCATGAGCATAGTAACCCGTGCGAAGGACGCCTTGGCAGAGATCTCTTTCGCCTACAAGCTGAACCCCTTCTTGACCATGCGGGAGCACCAGGCCGGCGTGATTTGGCCTTCACTGAATCACAAGTCCGTAAGGTAAAAGTAAAACGTCCCAATCTAAGAAGCATCAGGGGTCGGTCATTTGAATGCAGTTTAATGTGCGCACAAGTCCTAGATTAATCCATGACTTTGCACGCTTGCCCTGTCAGATGTGGGCATCTGTGGAATCGGGGCTGCACCGTTCGCTAGCCTCCTACGCGATGCGGCGTTTCCAACGCAATGGTGGGAGCCGGCGCAACCCTCAAATCATATCGAATAGCATGTGCGAATCAATGATCATGTCAGGGGCAGTTGTCCTTGATCAATTTATGTTTTTTGCCCGGCTCACCCATTGAACCTGCTGGCCGAGGAAAGGCCATGACAAGATGGCGCAAATCAAAGAAGTGATCTTTGCCAAGTTGGAGGAGCGCTCCAAAATTTTTATTTAAGATGTTGCCTACTAGATACACATGCATGCAAGCGCGAGCTCTTTGCGTGTTGTGTGCTTGACTGATTGTTTGTTCGTTTGTCTCTTTGTTTGTTTGTATGTGCGTGCGTGTGTGTTTGTGTGTTTGTGTGTTTGTGTGTTTGTTTGTTTGTTTGTTTGTTTGTTTGTTTGTTTGTTTGTTTGTTTGTTTGTTCATGTTTGTTTGTTTGTTTGTTTGTTTGTTTGCTTGCTTGTTTGTTTGTGTGTTTCTTTGTTTGTTTGTTTCTTTGTTTGTTTGTTTGTTTGTTTGACGATTGTTCGATTGTTTGTTTGATTGATTGATTGATTGATTGATTGATTGATTGTTTGGATGCTTGGATTGTTTGTTTGTTTGTCTGTGTTGTTTTTGAATGATTGTTTGATTGTGTTTGTGTGTGTTTGTTGTTGTGTTTGTCTTAATATATTTGTTTGTGCGATTGTTTGCTTCTTTGCTTGATTTGTTTGTTTGTTTTAAGCTTTGTTTGTTTGTTTTTGTTTGTTTGCTTGCTTGCTCGGTGTGTTCGTGTGTTTGTGTGTGTGTGTTTGCTTGTTTGCTTGTTTGCTTGTTTGTTTGTTTGTTTGTTTGTTTGCCTGTTTGTGTGTCCGTTCATTGTTTTTTGTGTGTGTTGTTTTGTTTGCTTAGTTGTGTTGTTTGTTTGCAATTTGATTTGTATTCGATGATGTTTGTTTGTTAACTTGCTTGCTTGCTTGTTGGCTTTGCTTGTTTGTTTGTTTGTTTGTTTGTCATGTGTCATGCTGTTTGTTTTTTTTGTCTCCGTCACTGTCTTTGTCTCTGTTTCTAGATGTCTGCCTGCCTGTCTGTCTGTCTGGTCTTGTCGCGTCTTGTCTTGTCTTGTCTCTCTGTCTGTCTGTCTGTTTCTGCCTGCCGTTTGTTAGTACATTGTTTGGAGTGGTTCATTGCGTGTCATACATGTTGTGGGTTTGTGGCTTTCCCCCCACCCTCTGGTACCAGCCAGGAGTCTGGCCAGCTCCTCAACGGAAAGAAAAAGCCCACGCGCGGGCATGGCGTCAGGAAGCTGAAGAGCCAGGCCTGGGTTGAGACTTGCTGCATGAAGCTTGAAGTTTACATCCGTGAGCTCGTGTGCATGCTACACGATGTGTCCAAGAATAAAATCAGTGCACGCCCACCCTACTGCAGATATGACAATCATACGCACGCACACTCCATTGCAGGAACTGGAAAAGACTGGGTCCAAGACGGACAATGCCGAAACTCAGCTGCCTCCCGCTGCAGCTTTGGACCATGTTTGCAAGGTCTACGGGGTGCCTGATAGCCCATACCCAGAACACCTCATGATAGAGACCCAATTGCCTTCACCGATGGAGGCCGCAGTTGAATCTCCAAATGGAGCAAACACCATGGACCCGGCCAGTGCAACTTCAGGAACAGCAGTCAAGCGAAACTGTGAAAAGCCCGCCGAAGAGGAATCGGTTACATCAGATGAAGAAGTGGAACCAATTGTTCTTCATGACCAAATGCTTCTAGAGGAGGAGGCTCAGCCCCCACGTGCCCCGACACCTGTGCCAGAACCAGCAGCTGAGTGTCCCGCAAAAGGCAGGAACGCCGCAGCGCCCTCGCAAGTGCCTGGACAAGAGCCGGTGGATTCAACCCAGGTTAAAGCTTTTGAAGATGCGGAGGTGCTGTTGGATTCAGAAGATGAGCAGAAAATAGAAAAAGGAGTCCACAAGGCCGGCCTATGCAACTGAAAAAACAGCTTTGCTCCATGAGCCAGAATTAACATGTTTCAATATACCATAACTGCATGTACAGGTCGCAGAGAGTTTGTTTCGCAGGGATCGATGCAGTCTTGTTCAACTTGTGGGCATGGTAGACACCATATTGGTATGACGATGTTCAAACACACAGCATTTGATGCAATATGCCGCATGCTTAATCATGCAAGACGACGCATGCGCCCGCTCCGTCCGCTGGCAGGATCGACGGCCTCTTGTGCCCATGCCTACCGTGCCAGCAGCTCTGGCAGAACAAGTTGAGATCATCGAGAAATCCCTGGAGGGCGAGTTTGCAAACTCACAGGAGAACTTGTTGCAGGCTAGGGTGGCCTTTCATGCCCTGCATTGCCCAGTTATGCATCCATTTCCGCCTTCGTGCCTCAACACCGATCGAACTGGAACCGTCAATCCTTCCGGCTTATATAGCTCAACAACTGCATCCCTTATATAAGCTTACATTGAGTCACAAGAGATGCGCTAGCGCGATTGCAACGGCTCTAACCGGCAGTCAGTCCTGAGGCCCAGGCAAGCCTTCGAAAAGTGGCTCGCGAAGGAACAGAAGCCGAGGAAGATCCTGACAAGGCATATGCAGAGGAGGAGGATGAACAGACGAATGGGAGGGGGCGAGGACGGGGTCGGGGTAGGGGCAGGGGAAGGGGGAGAGGGAGGAAAGGAGGCAGTAAAAAAAGCCAGCAGAGCAACCCAGGTGACCCGCAGGCAGACGATGATGCCGCTCCAGCCGATCCACCCTCCAAAAAAAGACGAGCGAAGCAGAAGCCGAACGAAGATAACGCAACAGTGCCTGACGAAGAGGTCACTACCAGCACAGCTGCAGCAAAGCAAGACAACGCAGCAGGAGCCAGCCCAAACAAGACCTTGAAGCGTGCCAAGTCGTCTAGGCGGCTTGCCCTCCTCCATGAGGCCAACAGCAAAAGGTCCCCATCTCAAAGCCCACGAAAGAAGAAGAAGAAGCTTAGCCAAGAACCTGAGCCTGTTAAGGATGATGCACCGATAAATGAGCGTGAGGCAGCGCAAACACGCATGACAGCAGCTAAGTCAGCAGCCACAAAACCTGCAGATGATGTTGCTGCGGATGAAAACCCGGCCACGGGGAGCAAGCCTGATGGCAATGGGGCCAAGGAAGTTAAGCCTGATCAAGCTCATGATGAAAGCAAAGCAGAGAAGCGGGCGCAACTCCAAGCCCGCAAGGACCAGCGACGAGTTTCGATTCAAGTTTGGGAATGAATTAAACAAGAACAGCGTTAGCTACAAGACAGTCAGACGTAGCATTGAATTGCGAGGACGCCAACTTCGAACTTCTTCGAAAACTGGCAACGAAAGACCCGCTCCTTGACATCCCCATTGGCCTAAGCGGTGCTTGGTCCTGGCCTCAGTACGAGATTGCATTTTCAAAGTGAACTCAAGCTGTTTCAAGTGTTGTTTCTATCCAAGTTTGAATCGAGACACAATGGACAACCAAACTCAACTTTGGGATCGAAACCGTGCAGCCGCATCAGCCAGAGTGAGTGAACACTGCATGAATGTTGAAAAAGGCACCAGCTGCCTGAATGGATAGCGCATCAGCGACTAAAACCATGCATTGATTGATAACACTCAATCGATCTCACATGCTAGCCCTGCCAGGTCGTTCACGCTCCAGCCCAGGGAGGACTTGCCGCCAGTGACGGTCGGAAAGCATGGACGAATTGGAGTGTTGCCAGAGCCCCAGACTGTGCATTCATGGGACATTTGATTCTATTCTGGAGATAATTCATTGAAGTTGAATCTGATTAGGTTGGGCCACGCCATGTCTGGCTTGGCAAGCTTCTATGTGCAGCCAGTCCCAGACCACAGACTTACCGAAATCAATGCAACAGAGGGCACTTCCCTGAAAGCCAGGGACTTAGTGTGCTACTCCTGGCATGCAATTTGCATGCTAATCAACATGTTGAAGATGCCTTGCAACATGCGCTTCAACCATATGAAAGCCATGCGTGGATCTGCAGCAACACTTGCCAGGTGAACAAGTCCAAAGGTGTGAGCATCGCCTGGTCAAAGCACGGTGGTCCTGAACACTCGTGTGGCCCTTACTGCCAGCCCTTCTCATGACCAAAAAAACTCATTTGAATAGGCCTGAGTGCGTGCTGAAACTGGCAAGGTGGTTCCTAGCATTGCGGACTGCGGGTTGGGTGCCACCACCGAAAAGCTGAGGCCAGGGCTTAGAATGCGCTTTCTTGAAGTCCAACACGTGAGCTTGCCAGGCGTCCTGGACCAGGTGTGCATCATTCTGATTCAAGAGCAAGGCGGGCTTGCTTTTTCGAAATGTTCAACTCCATAACATGATTGCCTGGCAGGAATTTCAACATGGGCTTGTTCAATGACACGAGGAGACTTACGCAGGGAAATCCTGTGAACGTACAGTCTAGGGGGTCGTGCGTTTTTGCCACTTGCCCAGTTGGAACACGCATCACATGTTGATGTGCATGGGTATTTACTTAGTTGCATGCATACTGCCGTGCCTGGCCTCGGCCTAGATTTTACCATTGTTGGAGGTTTGGCGTGTAAAGGCAAACAGGGACAGAAGTATGTACATGTAAGTCACCCTGACCACTTAATACTCAACTTCAGCCATGTCCAGGCACAAGCAGGGAAGGCTCACATGTGTGCAGCGCTTTGCGAGAAAGAAGGTGTTGAACTGGCGCAGGGCTTGGTTTGCAACACTACATGTGCAATTTGCCCTTGCCTGCGCTACTCAAGTCTGACCTTTTGATGGCCTTCGTTGCCGGATGTGAGATTATGCGTTTCAAGCCTGGCTAGATTTGACTTCCTGTGACCTTAATCGGCATGGTGAAAGTTTGGCAGCGCAAGCCAGTTGCCTTGTCTGCGCGAGCCTCTCGCCTTCTACTGTTTTGGGGTGCTCCGCTGGTATTGCCGCAGCCTTACGCCTTTCTTCTGTTCGACACCTCAAATGATGTTTGTCAAATATGTTCCTGCTTGCCGCGCCCAGGATACATCTATGCGACTATATCGCACAGCAAGCGCCAAATGATTGCAGTTCTCGCGCTGGGGGCTCAGGGCGAGAGGGGCATCATGTCACACTTCCGTCATCAATCATCAATATACTGTAAATCGAGTGACAGCATGCAGCATGACCTTCCGCGTGTGGATGATTTCACGCTGGCCCAGGATTTGAGTGCGGTTGATTGCTTCGGGGGCAAATGCTCCATCACGCGAGGATTCAGTCTGAGTCTCAGTTCATATGTCATATGAGTGTGCGTTGAGCCACCTGTCCAAACGAGTTACAATGAATTGTATCTGAGAACAATGGAAGCGTATGCGTGCGTTGTGCAAGTGTGCATTGAGGCAAACGCAATCAAGATCCCAAGCAAACGATGAACAATTGAAACCACATCACCAGCTAGCGCGCAAGTGTTTCGTGTATTAGCACAATGGATGTCTACTCGCGTGCAACCGTAGTGTTTTGGCATCATGCCAGGAGAGAGCGGAGCCACGTGGTCCTGACCTTGGTGTTGCGGTGCAGTTGAGCCGCCGTATCGCAGTTGTATAATTGTTTGAGGGGCTGCGCATTATCGAAATCAGCCGCATTTTGGCTAAGCTCTCCATTTGACCTGGCCCTGGACGGTGTCACTGGTGACATGAGCACTGTGTTCTGACCTCAGTAGTTAGTTCCTTTTGTGTTGCACAACTTTCCATATGCGTGTGGTTGTGTTTTCGTGGTTGCATCTGGCACACGATCATTACTCCATATGACTGCGTGCTCACCGAGGGAAGGATTTACACATGCTGCGTCTTTAGTACTTCGAATATCCGATCGTGGACTGCTGGCTGGTGGACCGCCATGTTCATCCTTTGTGTGGATGAATGCTGCAACAAGCAAGCGCAGTGCAGAAAGGCCATTAGGAGACACAGGCAAGCGTTACATCCAAAACGCAAATTTGTGCCTTGCACGCACTTTGGTGTGATGTGTGCGTGTGTGGCATGCGCATGCCATTTTGTTTCAATCTGTCGCCTAGGGTCACTTGCCGATTTGTACTCCTAGCCCTATTGGCTACTGCCAGAGCCTGCTTTCTGATATGCGAGCAGCCGAGCTCCAGTTCCATGCTATCTTTTCCGTATTGGCAGTGGCTGGCGATGCAAATCACACCTATGGCGTGGGGAACTGTGAGGTTGTCCGAGCCCCACCGTTTATAGCGCATGCATGCACGTGATACGCAATGGACGGACAAGAGCTCATGCGCGTAGCAAGCAAGACCTGTTGACTCAGTCCCATGGGGGCATATGGCCACGCCAATGCGAAGCCAACTGTATGTTTCGGAACAGTGTCCCCACCTCAGGAGTCAGTTGGTCGGTGTTCTCAATCTTGATGTTGAACATCTTGTAGGCCTTGCAGGTCGGTTTACGTGACTTGATCGATTTGTAGTTGCATGCTGTGTTAGGCCTTGGTTGCCGTCACTGTACCGCAAGCTCTCCAGCCGTGACAAACTCCGAATCCAGAAGAACAAGGACAAGGCAAAGCACCAGATGGTGCGTAAAACCATCAGCAAGCGCACAGGCAAAGTCTCAGTGTCCGAGCCTCAACACCCCTTGGTGCAAGATTACGAACTCTGTGCAACATTCGCAATTCGCATTACGTGCGCAATGAATCCAACACGGGTCAGTTCATGAGTTTGAGCTAGATTATCGTCATTGTTCACCCAAGGACTGGAGCACAAGGAATGAAGCGCAGCCAGCAGTACCCACGTGAGTATGGACAAGTGATTGCTCGCCTACATTTGGCTTGCATGGCTCCTAGGCTTGCATGGCTCCTACTGTTGTTGACTAACACGGAAGTAAAGACTTGGCCATGATTGGACTTGATAGCACCATGTGTTAGGCCGACGAAGAGCTAGACAGCCGCCTCGACATTCTGGGCAAGTTCAAGGACCAGATGGGCCAGCCTCGCAAGGCTGGGCGTTTGGAGCTGGCAACCTCTCCGAAAAATAGTCAACTATCTGGAATGGACATGTCTCATTTCACCGAGACCCCTTCGCCTTGTAAACCACAACAGGTGCGTGTGTGATGCCGGCTTGTGTGGGGTCAACAAGGTATTAGGGTCGGACTCATTTCTCTCACGCAACGTACTTGGAATGATGTCATGATTCAACCAATGCAAGTTCATTCAAGATGTAATTTGTGAGATAGCTTCGTAGTCATGGGTACGGGTGTTGGCAATAAAAGGAAGACCGCTATCACACCTTCACCGAAATCAACCAAAGCTCAACGCACTTTGTGCCTCAGGTCCCTTTCAACTGGAAGCACGCGGCCCTGGGGTCGCTGAAAGAGTTTTTGCGCCGTGAGGCAGAGCTTGGTAACTACAAGCCTGTCCTGAAAAAGGGACTGGATTGAACAGTTTGGCGCATGTGTGCTGATGCGGGCCTAAATCTTAGTATGCTTGAACGAATTTGCTCAACAAACTTGTGTAGCACACACCCATCACTCTGCAGATCCGGCCTGCAGCAGACTCCATGCTGCAATTAAATCCTATTTGAAGTGCGCCTTCAATAATTAATGCTCATGAACTCATGACTCAACATCAGTGGGTCTTGACAAGACTCGTGTGGCTGCATGTGTGCAACCCGATCGACCATGCTGGGGTGACCTATGGCGAAAATGCACATGTGCACAGCTGACAAGGTCAGTCAGCCATGTGGCATTTACAATGCAAGTTCGGCCATGGAATGACACCACAAGACATGAGAGCGTGAAACACCGTGAAACCCCCGTGAAACGTGCGTGAACGGCCTTTTTAGGGCGTGAACGGCCATTTTGAAGCGTGAAACATTTCCACCCCCCCGGCCCCCCATAGTCAGGGTCTCAGAATTGCACGTCGAGGGTTTTGGGCCCAGATTTGCAGCTTTTTGGTGGTGCCAGCCATGCCTGTCGACGTGGCATCAGTCCTGGCAAGTGCGGCTGACAGGGCCAAGAGGCAGGCAGAACTTGATGCTGCAGTCTGCTCTATGGAAAGGGTGCTTAAGTACCCGTTGTCTGCTGAAGAACTTCCCTGGGGTGCAGCACTGTCCTAGTCTTAGCAAGGTCCCCATTTTTTCACCTTACTCCATGTTGACGGGTGCAATCATTTCATTCAGTGCCGATATTTCCTAACTTGCTCTGATTGAAAAGGGACATCAAAATTGCCATGCTGTGGCCAGCTATTTGTCCGGGACTCGAGGTCAGCTCAGACCCAAGGGCATGGTCTTCTCAATGAACCTGACCTTCAATCGCCTCCTGGGTTGCCACCAAAGGGTTCTCCTGCTACAGGACTGTTCTATTTTGGGTCTAGTTTGCTGTTGTTCTAGATCTTCGTTGCTTGAACTGGCAACCATCTCTTGATCTTAGCCTGACATGTTGCTGTGGTAATATTGATCTGCGCTAGATTGATCGTTCAACGGGATTGTTGGTGTAACTGGTGCTACGGTGCATGAGTGCTTTGTGCAGGACGCAGTACTATCAGCACTGCCTCCACCATCCCGGCGACCGACGAGCAAGCCTTCGCCAACGCGAGGATGCCACAGGGGTTGCCTGCGCCAGACGAATTGCACACCCCAAAGGACAAAATCCGCAGAAGGGACACGTTGCCAACAGAAAAAAACAGCTGGCCCAAAGTCTCCAACAAGAGGGCCAAGAAGAAAGGAAAGGTGATCAAGGGCGGTGGCACTTTGAAATCAAAGAAGACAATAAGGGCTACTGATGTTTCACGAACCTTGGGGAAGAAGGCACCCGCGAAGAGCAAGTCTGCGAAAAGGGGCGTGCGCAAATCAAATGCAAAGCCAAGCAAAAAGAAAGCGGTCAAATCCAAGCAGACACGCAACGCTGGACGCGCTCAAAAAAAGAGGCTCACACAAAAGCAACCAGCTGCAAGCAAGAAGGGACCAGAAGAGAAGTCGCAAGACCCGCGTGTGAATGATGGCGCAGCGCCACAGCAAGCCGGAGGCAAGCCAACTGAAGTGCCCATGCCCCAACTGACTACCCCGCAGGAGGCCCCAGCTCAGACATCCAGCCCCGGTGCAGAAAGCCAAACCAAGCTGGGCACGCCCTCAGAAAGTGCCAAGCCAAACGCAACTTCTGGCCAGCCAAATGCAGGTGACTCTGACTCAGGATCAAAAGCGACCATCGTGACAAAAACAGAGAATGAGGAGGAAACACCAGTCCTCACACCAGGAGCAAAGCGCCACAAGCAGGTAGCGGACGCAGTGACATCCAGTTTGG